CCCAGCTCGCGGCCCCGGCCATGGGGCTGAGCGGGCCCGGGGCTCAGCGGAGCTGAGGCGGTGGCGCCGGTCCTCCCGCCCCCTGGGGCCGCCCCCGCACCCTGCTCGCCGGCGTCTTGCTCTCATGATGATGAAGAAAAAGAAGTTTAAGTTTAAGGTGGACTTCGAGCTCGAGGAGCTCTCCTCGGTGCCCTTCGTCAATGGGGTCCTCTTCTGCAAGATGCGGCTGCTGCACGGCGGCAGCTTCACCGCCGAGTCCTCCAGGTAACGCGCCCTTCGCGCCGGCTTCTCAGGAGCCGCCTCTGCCCTCGCCTTCCCGGAGGGGCTTGTTTGATGGCAACATCTCTTTCCTTGGTCCATTTGCTCCTAGAGGGCGGTCAGCATTGTGAGCTCCCCATTCTCCAGGGGCTAGTCTGATATCAGCGAGGAATTTATTGATCTCCACAAAGTGCTTCGCAAATAGGTCCATCTAGCCTGGGCTTGGCTGCTGCGCTTCTGATTCCAGATGGTTCCCGGTATTTGCTCTTCCCTCCTAGATTCTCTAGAAGGGGAGCGATGGCCAGAAGGGAGAGGATGCTTCTAGTTTGTCTTAAGTCGTTTCCATATTTGTGAAATGCAAAGTGGAACTTGAGCTGTTGTTAAGACAAAAAAAAAAACTCAAAACTGCTCGAGTTCCAACAGCGTCCACTCTGAACAGGAGCCTGTACTTAGCGTAACTCCTTCACCCTTGTAGGTTTCTCGGGGACTGCGGCGCCCAGGATAAGGCTAGGGTAGGCCTGGTCAGGCTTGATCTGAGTCATGTTTCCTGACAGAGGGGCAGCAGCCTATGCCTCCTCTTACAGCTACGTCTCCAGGTAGTCTCTATGTACTCATTGAATTACCGGTCTTGAAGTGGCCGTTAGTGGGTGTCGGTGTGGAGGACTTCGAACCAGAAGCGGAGCCCAACCCTTCCCTCTTTTTGACTTGAGAGCCCATGGCCAGTAGGCACTTCCAGGGAGAGTCATGGGCAGGTTCCAGAATGAAGAATGAAGGTGTGGCAGTGTTCTTTGAGTAGTTTCAGAGCTACTCATAGGTTGACAGATTACCCTAAGGTAAGTGATTTTCAGAAAATAGGAAATTTAAGGAATTAAGAAAATGGACATTTGAGTTTCTGAAATCAAATAGAAGGCTTATGTTCGTTGTGCCTAAATTTATTGGTCGGGTTGTTGTTAGGTGCCTTTGAGTCGGTTCTGACTCATAGCGACCCTGTGTACAAAGTAACAAAACACGGCCTGGTCCTGCACGATCCTCAAAACTCTTGCTATGTTTGGGCCCATTGTTGCAGCCACTGTCAATCCATCTCGGAGAACGTCTTCCTCTTTTTCACCGACCCTTTGCTTTACCAAGCATGATGTCCTTCTCCAGGGACTTGGTCCCTCCTGATAACGTGTCCAAAGTATGTGAGACGAAGTGTTGCCGTACTTGCTTCTAAGAAGTATTCTGTACTTCTTCCAAGACAGATTGTTAGTTCTTCTGGCAGTCCATGGTGTATTCAGTATTTGCCAAGACCATAATTCAAATGCATCAATTTTTCTTTGGTCTTCCTTATTCGTTGTCAAGCTTTCACACATACATGAGGCGATTGAAAACACCATGGCTTGGATCAGCAGCACCTTAGTCCTAAACGTGGCTTTATGTTTTCCCCTAAAAATATTCTGCTTTCCTTTTGTCTGTTATCCCTGTTAATAATATAAAGAGAATAATATGTCAATAGGTTGTGAAACTGGAGCCAGAAAATTGTCTGCTGTGGCAATACTGAAGCCTGTGGAAGCCAGAAAATGCAAATATCTAGTTGACCAGATAAAAGGTGTATGAAGCACTATTGATTCTTAAAATTTTTAAATGGTCCGCTGAGGATAGTTTTCAAAACTAAACTGTGATGACAAATATGTGGCTATTTAGCTAATTAATCACACTATTATCCCTTTTAGCACATCTGTGACCTAGAATAGTTAGACAAATACTGTATGGCTCTTAAAATGACGAAAAGCCAGTTTGTGAACGACCTGTTGGTGTGAGACCTAGACTTGGGGTAGGGTCCCATCCCCCACCCCCACTTCCAGCCATTAGATCAACTTTCTGAGCCAGTGGTGACACCTGGTGGTCAGGGCACTTTCCTATGCCACCCCCCCACCCCAAAATATTGATTTGACTTGTTTCTCACAAGTCAGTTATTCCATCACAGGCAATCATTTCTCTAGCAAACATGTATAGACTGGACCTTTTATAAATATATTATTTAATTCTCACAGCAAGCCCATAAGGTAGGGATCCCCATTTTATTGATGAATAAACAGAGGCTCAGAGAGCCTACTGACTTTCCCAAGGTCCCCCACAGCTGGTAAGTGCAATGTCAAGATTCTAATACAGGCCTCTCTTAACTTCAGACAGGGTGATGCCAGATAAAGGAGAAAAGTATGTGCAGTGCTGAAGAGCTTCCTAATGGTTTTAACAAGTTGGGGACATGATTTGTACTTTGCAAGAATTGGAAAGGAAAAAGCAGACAATCTTAGGTTAAACTTACCCCTTTCTCTCCCATCTAAAATCTGATTTTAATCAAGATCTATATAAACAAATAAAAAAGGCATACAGTTTGGAGGCTTTGATTTGGCCAGAATCCTTTGATTTGGCCAACTTATAAGGAACCTGTGTCTTTGAAGCTAGAAGGTAACTTAATGTAAAGGCAAGAGCAAGGGTTTGGAATGAGGTGGGTCTGAGTTTGAATCCCAGCTCTACCATGGTAAACCTGGGTGGGTGACTTAACCTTTCAAAGATTCCATTTGTGAAATAGAGACAGTCTATGGCACTTGGGGGTTATTGTGAGGATTTAGTGAGATAATAATATCTAAAACACTGAGCACAGTGCTTTGGCACTCAGTTGGCATTTAAAAAAGAGACAAGGAACTTGTCCAACAGGGTCCATTTCCTTTAGATGTTATACTTAAGTCCTTTATCCTAATAATTATAAAAATGTTGGTTTGAGAATGATACCTTATTTTTCTCCTTCTTGTTGTTGTTGGGTGCTGTTGAGTTGATTCCACCTCATAGCAACCCCATGGGACAGAGTAGAACTGCCGTATAGGGTTTTCTTGGTTGTAATCTCTACAGCGAAGCCCTGGTGGTGAAGTGGTTAAAAGCTCAGGTTGCCAACCAAAAGGTTGGCAGTTTGAATCCACCAGCCGCTCCGTGGAAACCCTGTGGGACAGTTCTACCCTGTCCTATAGGGTCCCTATTGGTCGGAATCAACTCAACGGCAGCGGGTTTGGTTTCTTGTTTGTTTTTTGTGACACCACTGAGAGAGGACTCTTGAAAGCTTGTGCCTGGTTTCCTCTAGACTTCGTCCCATGTACCTTTTTCCTTTGCTGATTGTGCTTCATGTCCTTTTGCTGTAATAAATCTTAGCCATGACTACTGCTGTCTGCGGAGTTCTGTGAGTCCTCCTAGTGAATAGCCAAACTGTAAACCTATGTAAAATAATACTCATTTTGTTAGAGAAAAGACTTAGAGGTACATAGCAAAAAAAAAAAAAAAAAGTGCAAAAACTAAAAATACACATCGTTCATTGTTCACCAGATACAAACTGAGTATTTACCAGGTTCCTAGCTGTCTTTTAAGGACTAGGAGAATTATAACAAATATAAAGGCCCACGAGTCAGTCACCTCTACTTAATGAAGTTAGATAATGTATTGCTTGACAGTAGGAGACATGGGATTTAGTGGGTCAGACAATATGTTGGTATTGTTGAAATTCTGAAGAGAAACCTTATTTTACAGCTGTGATGGTTACTGAAAACCACACTAGCATTTGAGCTGAGTGCCAGGAGGATGAATTTGCTTTGACAAAGATGTGGGGTTGGGAAGACAACTTGAGAGGCTGGCTTGTACAAGTCAGTAATAGAAGTTAGTGGTCAGCCTGATTGCAGAGAGGGTTCATATTGAACAGAAACTTAAGTAAGATTAGAGGGAAAAAAAGGCCTTCAGCGCTATTGCAAAGAGTTTGCTTTCCTCTGCTTATAGTATAAACTTCAACTGAGGAGTCTTGAACCGAGTTGTAATGTGACTAAAGTAGTATTTAAACTGGTAGTCAGGCTGGTGTTCTGTGGATTCAAGTGGTGATAGATTAGAGATGGGGAGACAAATTAGGATGCTATTAAAATCACCCAGGCAGGAGCTGATAAGACAACCTGAAGTCTGAGGTTTCCCATGTAAGTGACTGATAAGTGGTAATGCTATAAAAGAGATGCCTTAATGCCTTGACAGAAGTAAGGAAGTCAGGAAAAAGAATCTTCATTTTGTTTTGTTTTTAAGGGAAATGTGTGTGGTGGTGGGGGTTATAAGGAGGTGAGTTGTACATTTGACATATGGCATATGAGATGACATTGAGCCTGATAAGCAGTTGGAGACATATTTATTGTGGATTTCTTAGATCTTGTATATTGAAACCGTACAAGCCTGCTTATTGAACTTCTTACTTAGAATGGCCTTACACTGTTTTGCCCTTTTAAAGATTATTAGTGAAAATTAATTTTAGAAGGACCCAGTTTCTCTTGGGAAAATTTGTCCAGTGAAGAGGTTAGAAATATATAAAGACTAGAAGATATTTATTTGTAATAATTATTGTTAAAGTGGCCAGGTTAAATGGTCAGATTTTAAATATCATAGTTAATAAAACTTTTAGAAAATACATTGTACAATTATAGTGATCTAATAAACCAAAGCCAAATTGTTGCCTAATATTTTCGAAGACCTTTCAAAAAGACAGAATATTACATTAATTAACTCCTTTCACATCTCTTTCTCTGTAAATGCACTTAAATCAATTTTGAGGTTTATTAAGGCTATCAGAGCCAGTTTAATTTCTGGTCTGCTTTAATAAAGGAAGAAGAAGAAGAAATATGCCCATAATTTTAGCATTTCCCAGCTCCTTTTATTTTGTTCATCTTTTGGTGTGTGTGTGCATGCTGATAGCTAAAATACTTTTCTAAGTTTCACATGAGCTTGTATGTGGCAGAAAACCATGAATTCAGGGAGTGTCTGGGAAGCTAATGAGCACATCTGTGTATTGGATCTTTTAACTTTGTAAACAAGTTGAAGGATTTCTTCTCTTTGGCCCGAGTGCATCTTTTTTTATCAAGATTTTAGTTCACTGCATATTGTATACAGTCCTGCTCCACATAACATCCGTTAGGGTAACGTCCAACCACATATATGTCTGTGGTCCCATA